GCGCACGCCCCCTTCTCCTCGCCAGCTCCTCCACAGCGGCCACTTTGGACAGTTTCCTCTATGCAAATAGACCCTGCCAGAAAAGGAGCCGGGACCCACCCAGGGGAGGAGCGGCTTGGTCGTTCTCCCTCGGCGAGGGGCGGGGGCGAGAAGGGAGTCAGCTCTTGAGAGCCATTCGGGTGAGCCAGACTGACCCAGTGCGCCGCGCGCCCTCAGCCCTCACCTGGCCCGGGCGCCGGGTTACATACATCCCGGCGTGAGCGCCTTTGTGACTTCCAGGCCATGGTCTCCACAGCGATCCCCAAAAGTACGACCTGCGTCCAGAGAGTCAGTGCGTCTTCTGCAGCCCACTCATTCTGGAGCCCCAATTGTGCCTTGGGAGCATTCACCTAAACTTTTGTGATTTAACCTTTCGGACACTTTTAAATAAAAGTTCAAACTCCAAATCCTGAGGAAAACAGTGGTTCGGTCCTAGATGGTGGCTTAGCGCCGCTTGGCGGCCAAAAGAGACGTCTGCAGATTGGCATTTAGAGACGCAGTCAGAATCCAGATTGAGACAAAGAGAAAGATGCCTGTTAGAATCTTAATTCTCTCACCATGTATTATAGGTCAGGTATGGTGCTAGAAACAAGATGAGAAGACTTTGTTTCTGACCCAAGGGGAGAAGTTAGTTGAGAACAGACTATATAACAAATGGGAAAAGATGTGGAAAGGAACTCCAGCTTCTGAACTCGATGACTTAATTTTGCGGTAGAAACATAACTCAGCCAAAAATAATCATCTAGTATGTGTCATATTTAACCTGAACTGCCATCGTGCTGCATATTTACATCGTGGAGTTAAGGCAGAAAATCTCTGGATACAGTTGTGTCCAGAGAAGAGAATAAAACTTACTTGCAGAAGTGGCCCAGTCTTGGCAGGAGAGGAGAGGAAGGCTTTCTGCTTGCTGGCCGTTCTATCAGGGACATTTATAGCCCAAAATGGGTCCCAAGCAACTCCTCTGGTATCCAATTAACCACCACTAGCGTATTAGACCTTTGTAATTTGGACAACTCTGAGATTGTCTTTTAGAAAAAGATGTATCTCTCTTCTTTCTCATTTTTCTGGATATCTTATTTTTTTTTTTTTGCAGATGGATTACTTCTCTCTTAAAACTGTTGAAGCCTACAGCTAACAGGTTCCTCCTGCTTCCTTGAGGGCAAAGGTACCCTAAAAATTGCTTGATAAGAAACAGAAGGTGATTGGCATCTCACATCTGCAACTTTGTAGCTGTGGCCTTGCATAAATTGGGGTTATGGTTGGATGGTTATACAGTCTTGGCCTTATGCTAAAATTGAGTGTATGGTCAATAAATAATCTGTGAAGTACCTGTTAAGCAAACTTTATCATCTACTCATTAAAGGGACTATCATATTACAAGTTAGTACTCATTCTTACTATAAAAACATGTAAATTGTCCTTATTAAAAAAAGAAACCTATGTTAATGTTAGTGCCTGTACTATTCACTGTATTCCAGAGGCTTCTGTGTATTGAACAAACCAAGCTCATTAGACGGTTGGGCCTTTGCTCTTCCCTGCTACCTCGCCTTCTGGATTATCCTCCTCCCTAATCTTTGAATAGCAAGTTCCTCCTTAACCTTTAGGTCAAGGTCTCCAGGTCTTTAGCCTCTTGTCTGAAAGGCCTTCCTTCCCAAACTGCCTAATTGAAGGTGCTTCTATCTTTAGTTCTCCGCAAAAGGACTGATTAGGGAATGGGGGCATTTATCACTGAAGTTACCTTTTAACCACATACTCTTTATTCACCACTGTCTTCTCAAAGAACAGAACACTATCTGGCACATAGTTGGAGCATTTATCATTGAAGTTACCTTTTAACCATATCCCCTTGTCATTCACCATTGTCTTCTCAAAGAACAGAACACTATCTGGCACAGAGTCAGTGCTCAATAAATGCATTAAGATGAAAAATGCCTACTGCCCCCAACTCATTTTAAAAGGCAAGAAAGAAATCACTCTTACATGTGCAAGTTGTGATCCTAGAAGGAAAAGATATAGACAATTTACATGGGATGACGGGAAGCCAGCCAGATACTGAAGTACTCTGATGCTATCTACAGTGGGAAGCCATTATTACCACCCCATCTAGCTGAAGAGTGAGGGAAAAATATGTTCCCAGAACCCTGTGAAAGCTTAGAGCTGTGAGAGGAGCTGTGACCCTTGGTAAAATTCACAGCTTCTGCCAAACTGTATTCTGGAAAGGAGGGAACTGGAGAAATATCACTCAACTTTTCCCTGCTGGGGTCTCCCATTATCCAAACCTCCAAAAGGTCAGCCCTAAAGGGCAGAGTCAGAGTGTAGAGGCCTGATGATTGAGAAGGACTCAGAATCTTCAATATAAGAGTATTAAAGAATATTTTACAAAATAGGGATTTGGGTGAGATAGGATTAATAACCATGGCAGAATACCATAAATAAAGTCAATAATGACAAAGTTTAAATATATTCAATATGCTGTTCAAGAAGGCAGGGGTATGTAATCTGTAAGTATTTCCAGCAAAAAAATAAAATAAAAATTAAAATAAACTATAAGGTTTTAAGGGATAAACTAATTACATGAGGGAAATTGTTACATAGGGAAAATCACCAGCTCTTCACTTGGTGCCTTAATTTCAGCCCTGGCTCTACTAGCAACTCAGTGTATTTATCGGGAGCAAATTAACTACCTTCTGACTCTCTGTGTTCAGTTTTTAAAATTCAGATATTGACAGGGAATAGCCAAATTTACCCTCCTGTCTGAAACAAACAGAAAACTAACTGTATAAAATGGCAGTTTTTGAGACACTGGCTATCAAGCAACAATAAGGACAGTGATCCTTGGGAGATGGGAAACAAAGTGAACCCAAGGATGCTCTTATCAGGCTAAACACAGGGAATGGTCCCAAGCAGCTGACCTAAAGCAGAGAGAAAGCTGTGAGTTTACGAAGGCCAAAGCCATTAGTAGTTGCAGAGCAGACAACTGGAGGACAGCCACTATGGAGTTAGAAACCACACCAAAGGAGGACTGTAATCCTGAGTGGAAACAAACCCACAACTAACAAAAGGCCAGTGTGAAAAATCTCATAATTCAGAGGGTATCAGGTGGAGTACTCAAAGTTTCTGACTAAGTAGTAGAGGGAAAAACTAGCCCTACACTAAATCAACATTGCCTAACAAAGCTTAAAACTAAAGCCTGAAAAAATCAAACTGATTGAAATAACTTAACCATGTTCATAATAGAAATAAAGTTTACAAGGATACAAAATAGAGTAAAACAAGATGCAAAATTACCAGGAATGTAAGAAAATGCAAGAAAATATGACCCAGAATAGAAGAGCAACTGGTCAAAACCAATCTAGAAATGACAGAGAATTAGACAAAGGTATTAAATTATAACTATATTCATATGTTCAAAGAACTAGAGGAAAGATTGAAAATGTCAAGTAGAGACACGAAAGATTAAAAAAAAACAACAATAAAATTCTAGAGAATGTTTGAGATGAAAAATACACTGGATGGAAACAGTGGATGTGTAACCGATGTGATTCTGCAATCTGTATACGGGGTAAAAATGGGAGTTCATAACCCACTTGAATCAAATGTGTGAAATATGATATGTCAAGAACTATGTAATGTTTTGAACAACCAACAATAAAAATTAAAAAAAATAAAAATTACATTTAAAGTGGAAAAAAATACACTAGATGGGATTAAAGGCAGATTAGACACTATAGAAAGATGAATAAACCTGAAAATACAGCAAAAGAATCAGAATGAAAGAGGAAAATAATGCAAAACATAAAAAACAAAAACACAAACAGAGCATCAGTGAGTTGTACAATAATTTCAAAGAGACTAATAAACACATAACTCAAGTGCCTAGAGGGCATAAAAATTCTGAATGGCTAAAAATTAATTTTCCAAATATGATAATAAACTTATGAATTCAAGAAGTTTAAGGAATGGAGGCACAAAAACACGAAGACAACTACACAATGCAGGCACATTATGAATTGCTTGAAATGAGTGGTTAAATAAAGATTTAAAAAAACTTAAAGCAACTAGAGAAAAAAACATACAGAAAAAATGAAAATAGCAATTTCTTGTTGGAAGCAATGCAACCCAGAATATAGGAAAGCAACATATTTTGTCAAACTAGATTCTATATCTAGCAAATATATCTTTCAAGAAACAAAGGCTTCTAGACTCTCAAACATGCAAAAAAGGATGGAAGAATTCATCACCATTGGACCCACACAAAAAAAGTAGTTTATGGAAGCAATTCACACAGAAGGAACACCATATTAGAGGAAAAATATGAGTTTATACAAAGGACTGAAAAGCACCAGAAATTTCTCACTTGAAAGATAATCAGTGGCTTAAAGCAAAAATAACAAATGTTTTGTGGGTCTTTAATATATAGCTAAGTAAAATATAAGACAATAGTATCAGGAAAGAAGAAATGGTAGTTTACTATTGTGCGATTCTTATATGTGAAATTGTATAATGTCACTTAAAAGTGTACTGTGATAAGGTTGTGTACTACACTCTAAAGTGATTGCTAAACACACACAATAGTTACAGCTAATAAATCACCAAAAGTGATAAAATGGGAATCATGAAAAAAATAAGATAGAAAAAGAGGGAAACGAAACAAAGAATAGGACAAACCGGAAATAGCAAAATAGTGAATCTAGAACCACCTAGATCAATAATCACATTAAATATAGTCTAAACCCAGTTAAGATAGAAAAAGACATACTATGCTAACATTAAAATAATGATGATCTCTTATTTGCAGTCATTTATGATTGTTCCTATAGGGCTAATAGGAAAATATTTTTTAAACTATAGAATACTGCCAAGAATATAGTGGGGGGCTGTGGTTGCAGCTCAGTGGTACAGCACTTGCCTATCATGTGGCGAGGCACTGGGTTTGATCCTCAGTACCACATAAATACAAACATACAAAATAAAAGTATTGTGTCCATCTATAGCTAAAAAAAATTACTAAAGAGGGAACAAGTCAAGAAATGGTGAAAAATAATTACCATTAGCACTTCATGTAAATTATTTCATTTGCTCCTCACAACTACTTTCAGAAAGTATTATTTCTCCAATTCATAGATGAGGATACTAGAGAGAATACAGTACTTAATAACATACACATGGTACCAAGGTCTGAATTCAACTGATTCTATAGGCAAGCAAACCACACTGTTCTCAGGTATGTGGTTGTTGATACTTGTTTCTAAAGTGGTCTGAAAAGCATAAGTTAAAAATATCAAGATTTTTTTTTTTGAGAGAGAGTGAGAGAGGAGAGAATTTCTTAATATTTATTTTTTAGTTTTCGGTGGACACAACATCTTTCTTTGTATGTGGTGCTGAGGATCGAACCCGGGCCGCACGCATGCCAGGTGAGCGCACTACCACTTGAGCCACATCCCCAGCCCAAAATATCAAGATTTTTAAAAATTAAATTTCCCTATCAATGAGATCCTCTCCAAATCACATAAGTCATTCATCCTCAAAACTGTACTTGCCCATGCTGTCTTTTAATTACATGCAAGCACTTTTAAAAATTTAACACTGGATTTTTTTTCAAATTTAACACTATATATATAATAGAAAAAATTTAAGTCACTTGGGTGGAGGGAAGGCATCCTCCCAATCCCAAATCTTCAATCTTTACTTAATCTCATTGTACTGACCACCATTAACAGTATCTGAAAGAACTATCCATATGGGGTTCCAGCCTCAAGATATTTAGGGTGGCTTAGTCTTTTTTTTTCTGAGAGAGAGAGAATGAATTTTTTAATATATTTATTTTTTAGTTTTTGGCAGACACAACATCTTTATTTTTATGTGGTGCTGAGGATTGAACCCAGCACCCCGCACATGCCAGGCGAGGACGCTACCGCTTGAGCCACATTCCCAGCCCCTGGCTTAGTCTTCTTAATCTTTCTTTAGGCCTAAAACCAAACTAACACCAGGAATGAATGTAGGAAAATGCATCAACAGTATACACTCTTGTTAAAAACAAATTTCTTTGAAAAATTCTAAACCCCTGCCAGTTTCAGTGAAACACCACAACTATAATGAGGTGGACACACACCACAGTGCATGCCTATAATCCCAGTTTCTCACAAAGCTGAGGCAGGAGGATCACAAGTTTGAGGTCGGCATGTGCAATTTAGCAAGATCCTGTCTCAAAATAAAATTTAAAAAGGAACCATAGTTCGTTTTTAATGGTAAAAAGGAAAAATGTTTAATGATAATGTTGAGATAAAAAATGGAATTCTTGATAATAACAGTAATTCCTGACATAATAAAAGAGAATGATTAACATTATTAGAAAAATAAAAAAAACTAAAAAGTTGTCCGAGTTAAAGCATTTATAGAGAACAGTAACTAGTCAGGCATGATGGCACATATCTGCAATCATAGCAAATTGGCTGAGGCAGGAGGATTTCAAGTTTGAGCACAGGCTCAGTAATCTAATGAGTGAGACCCTGTCTCAAAATTTAAAAAATAAAAAGGGCTGTGAAGTGGCTCAGTGGTACAGTACTTCTGGGTTTCATCCCCCGCACCTAAAACCTCTCAATAACAACAACAAAATCATAAAAAAGAAGTAACTGTTATTAATGGGACTATCAAACATCAGATTATCTGCTAGATGGTTTTAACCACACTATAAACAGATATTACCTCTAAGTAATCCAAAGTAAATAAGCTGAAGTACTCAACCACTTATTCCCAAAGACAGAAAACACCTTCCACTAAAGTTTGAACCATGGTGGAAAAAAATCTGATCTCTTTCAATATACCAATTTGCTACCCGAAAGAATTAGCTGAAAGGTAAGAAATGAAGGCAAGCTTGATGACAGCCTGCTCCTTCCATGAAGTACTTCAACAATTTTTCTCTTAACAGTTTCAGCATTCATTGATGACAGGTGCCAGTTTACAGGATAAATGGGGATTAGATGAATGCATGTCACTATGATAAAATAATTGAATACGGTTAATTCTCTAAGACAAATGACCCAGTTTTATAAGCAATAAAATAGAATGGGGAGGAAAAGGTACAAAGTGATTAAGAGACCTGAGACATAGAAAAATGTTTTCAATTTTTGAAGCTGGGAAATATAGTGTTTCACTGTACTACTTTTGTGTATTTTGAAAAATCACTTGTTATAGAACTAGCCAACTTCCCCAAATGACTTATATTAAAATCTATTCATATCAGGGAGATTTCTACTTTTAATCACACTGCAGAAGGCTGGATTGACAGTTATAAAACTAAACTTGATTTTTGAGCATTATATTACCTTTCCTAAAAATCTCATAAAACAAGACCAATCAACTACCCAAATAAAACCTACATTAAGAATTATTGGAAATTAGCTGGAGACAGCAACTTCAAATGATCAAAAATCTTTTTTTAGAAGTTGTTTCCATTAGTTTGTAAACATACATTCTACTAATTCTACAGTGGCTGGCTACTATTGGTCATAATATTAATTCTTCTAAAATTTATTATCTGAAAACATAGCTTGTTAACCAAATACTGGCTGTGTATCTTAAAAATATTTGCACCATATTTTGTAAAATCAATATTTTCAAATTGGAAGAGAGTTTAAAACTCAGGCTACTTGACGGCCAGTGTTTTCTTCATTTAAGGATGTTGATGTAAGACATTGGTATTCACCTACCTACCTACCTAAAACAGAATGACATGCTTTCAAAAACAGCCATATCATCTAAATCATTTTGATAGAAGTCTATCAACTTGTAAAGAAAAATGTGAATGAACGAAATAAAAAAAAAGCTATTAACCATTACTTTTCATTTCATTCCAAGTCATTTCACAGAACTATGACTAAATAAAACTGACCAAGTTATTGACTCATCAATTTGGTATATCACTACCAAGCACAATGCTAAATCTTGCAAGTATGAGTTTATGTCACAATTCAGTCATAATTATTGGGAGACTTTGCCCTGTCATTTCCAATTTCTCTAGCATCTAGCTCTTCCAACTACCTGGAATAATTCCAGTTTTATGAAAAACCACAAAACTTCAGAGTGGTAGTTGTCTCCTACTGTCAGTTTACTAACAAGATTCAATTTAATTAATCTACTCTGATAATACTCCATGAATGTATTCAGGCAGCAATGGAAACCACATATTCATCTGCAATTTTAAAAAGATCTAATGAGAAAACCACACTAGATGAGGTTCCATCAGACAGATATTAAATTACTAAGAAAAATACCTAAATTATAAATGATCCATATTTATACACTGACCACTCTAAACCTTTTCACTTTTAGTGGTGAACTCCAAGCACTATAAAATAAACAAAAAATCCTGGAGCTTTTAGAAAACCAAGTCCAAAAGTACAAGGAAAAAGGCAATTATGAGCAGAAATCTGATCCCAAAGAACATGAAGCATGGGCTGGGAGAAGGTTTTGACAGGACAGTAGCAATGGAGAAGGGCTGTAGAAAGGATGGCAAACATCTTAATCTATACAGCAACACTGTTAGCCTCAGGACAAATACTTTTTAAAGAAAAAATGCTAATGCCAAATGCTCCTTTTAAAAAACATTTTCACAACACACATGCATGTCCCTGGGTCTCTTGCCATATGATGCTCTGTACCTTCTTAGGATTTTGCCAGCAGAAGGGCATGACCAGATGTAGATACTTGGCCTTGGGCTAGATCATGAGTCAAAACACACACACAAAACAAACAGAAAAACAGAAACCCACCAAAAACCAAGAAATCAACCAACCACTTTTCTTCATGATTACCCAGTGTTTGGTATTGTTTTGGTATTGCAACAGAAAATAGACTAAGACACTCAAGTGATCTGATCTAATCTACCTATACCTGTTTACTCATCTGGTCTATCCAGACAAGACTAACTTGGGATGTTATGTGTATGTATAATCATGTTTTAATGAACCTCACATTATGTATAATTATTATGTACCAATTAAAAATTAAATTAAAAAAAGAAAAAAAAGGTAACAAAAAATAGAGCTCAACTATTCTGAAGAGTATGTCACTGTATGTGATTCCATCAGAGGTCTAAATATTATTTAAATGACTCTACAACTTATCTAAAAATTTCTAGTCAACTTTCCGAACACATTACACTGGTAAATGCTATTATTTATCAGGCAAGAAAATTCCAGGCATTTTCTGTTTAAAATATACAGATGTAATTCAAATCTGTCTGTAATGCACTTATGAAATGAGGATACGTTCAACAAAACAACCAGTACCATAATAACCAATTATGAATTCTATAATGATAAATATTTCAACCTGGCAGATTGAACAAAAAGCCTTTTTTCATTTACTACATTAAGTAACATTTAGTTTTTATGTGAAAACAGGCACAGTAAGAAAAATATCTATAAGCAAAAACTCCATTAAACAATTAAGTTCTGTAGAGCTCTCTTCCCCAAGTTTTTTCTAATAAAACTCTTTTTTGTTTTTCCCAGTAAGGATTAACACACAAGCACACACTGCTTAAAATAGCCTTAATTCTTGTAGGCTTAGGTTTAGGTATTTACTTAATTTGATAAGGAAATGTAATAATTTCAAGACTCCTCCAGGACTTTGCATTAAAAACTAAAACCTCGCTTGCCTAGCAATGCATGAAGCCCAGGGTTCCATCCTCAGCATCACCAAAAATATCCCTCAAAACGAAAAATCTCAGGCATCAGAAGTCCTATTTTTATGTCTGTGACTCACCAAAGAGTTATTGGAAAAGTATGATTTTCCAAGCTGACTTTCCAATTAGACTTTAATTTTCAATGAAGTATGTACTTGGTGTTTTATTAAACAACCTATCACAATGGACAAACTGAATGACTTTCCATGAATGCCTACTTGCCCCCACTGATCCAATAAAATGATACAAAACCTACATTTAATAAAACTAATAGTAAATATTTTCTATGAGTTTTGGTTTCCAATATTTAGGCCTACCTAAGTTAGTAATAATGATTACCTGTACAATTATTCCAGGAAAAAACTGAAAATTTTTAAATTTGAGGTATATAAATAAAATTCACTTAAGAATAAAGTAATCAAGATTTCCTTTTACTTAAAAAAAAAAAAATCACTTCAGAGTCAAACTTCATGTACAAAAGACAAGACCAATCACTTTATCACTGGACACAAAGGTAATTCCAAAGGCCTTTAAAAATGGTAATTAATCTCAAAAAGGAAAATTAATTTCAACTTTTATATTTCATTCATTATCAAGACCATACTGCTTAACAAGGTAAATCTGCTATAGATACAAAACATACAGTATATACACTTGACTGTACAAAATAATTTAATGTTTACAAAAATATTAGAATGTTTAGTTGACTGACACAGTCTTAAAGTAATCTCTTCTAGAGAAGTATATAGTAAGACCACTGATTTCCATTTCATTTCTTTTTTAATAAGTCAAAGAAAGGATGCTGCAATGCTTCGTCCAAGGTGATTCTTTTAGTTGGATCATATTCTAACATTCTTCGAACAAGGTCAAAAAGCTTCTCATGTTCTTCATCATGACTGAGCATAAATTCCTGGAGGAAAAAATTTTTGTTAAAAAAGATACTAATAATAGTGAAAATTTATTTTTCTTTTAATCCTTTTTTCTTTCACCTTTAATGGTTTGCAGCGTCTCCTAACATATCTACCAGCAGAACTATGTTCATCCCAATCTAGCTGGTTATGGTGAAAATACTTCCGTTTCCTAGAAGGAAAAAGAAATCTGGATTAATAAAATACTAAAAGATCTA